CTGGAATTGGGGAGAAACTCCTGGAATTGGGGAGAAACTCCTGGAATTGGGGAGAAACTCCTGGAATTGGGGAGAAAACATCTGGAATTGGGGTGAAAACAGTTCCTGGAATTGGGGTGAAAACATCTGGAATTGAGGTGGAAACAATTCCTGGAATTGGGGAGAAACTCCTGGAACTGGGGAGAAAACATCTGGAATTGGGGAGAAACTCCTGGAATTGGGGAGAAAACATCTGGAATTGAGGTGGAAACAATTCCTGGAATTGGGGTAAAAACTCCTGGAACTGGGGAGAAAACATCTGGAATTGGGGAGAAACTCCTGGAATTGGGAAGAAAACATCTGGAATTGGGGTGAAAACAATTCCTGGAATTGGGGTAAAAACTCCTGGGATTGGGGAGAAACTCCTGGAACTGAGGTGGAAATAACTCCTGGGATTTTGGTGAAAACTCCTGGAATTTTGGTGAAAACTCCTGGGATTTGGGTGAAAACTCCTGGGATTTTGGTGAAAACTCCTGGAATTTGGGTGAAAACATCTGGAATTTTGGTGAACCCCCCAATGTTTCGGCACACGGAGGAATTTCACGCCAGGAAAAGGGAATTTGGGAATCCGGGCGCGGGATCCTCCCCGTCCTGGCGTCACCCCTCGCCCTCATTAGAGTTTAATTAGCGCAAAACCAATTAATTGCGGCTGCTGCTTCCCAGGAAAACACAAAGCTCCGGCTCTGACCCTTTTCCCAAACTTTTTGCCCCAAATTTCCGACGATGATGAAAATGAATTCAAGTTTTTGTCTCTCCCGGTGTCGTTTCCCGAGGGATAAATCCTCAATCCGAGGGATTTGGGGCTAAAACCGGGGAAATTGGGGCTGGGGAGGGAGATTTTCCTCCTGACTCCGATGTGTGGCCGGGATTTTCCCAAAAATCTCCTTTTTCAACCCAAAACTCCCCCTGGAGCAGCTGGGGAGTGCCGGGATCCCCCTGGATTTTCCCATCCCGGATCCTCCTCTGGGTTTTGCCCAATTCTGGCGCTTCTCACCCCAAAGTAAAGAATTTTCCCAACATCCATAAAATCTGCTTTTCCTGGTTTTTTTTTCCTCTCATTTCCAGCTTTTTTATTTTTTAATTAATTTTATCTTTTTTTTTTTTCCCCGTTTTTCCCGTGGATTCTCCCAGCCTCAGTTTCCCTTGGAAA